TTCCATTCTACTCCACAGGGTTGCTATGAGTCAGAATCCAGTGGCAGTGGGCTAGATCTTCTCCTGAGAACCACTAGAGGGCAGTCTTATCCTTAGGTTTTTATTCAGTGCTGATACAGGAGTTCTGGATATTTGATCTCTGGAATACAATATGCATGTGGGGGAGGGTGGTATTTAGGTGGTCGCAAATGCTGGCATAAGCAGTGGGGCTCAACTTTCCTGTGGTGAGGGTGTGGGGCTTTCTGTGTCCCTCATGGGCACCCCTGAGCAGGCTCTCCCACAGTGTCCCGATATGGACAGGGAGCCAGCCATTTACTTCTGTGTTGCCCATCAGTCTGAAGTATTCCCCTCGTCCTGCTACCCTTGTAGTTCCTCCTGGTCCTAGTGCCCATTTATCTTGGGCCTCAGTGAGATTCAACAACATTTTCTCTGAGCGCCATGGTCTCACTTCACCCTCTTCTACTGCGCGGCCCATAAATTCCCATGGCCAATTTGTGCTGCCTTAAAAAATTGGGCTACAGTTTCCCCAGATTGGCTCCCTTTCTGTGTTCCCTGTTTGGGGTGTTGCCCAGCCCAATCCCAAAATGGCTGCAATGAGTGAACGTTCTTAATGTTGGCAGGTAGGTTCTCCCAACTTCTGTGCCGTCCCCGTTCCTCCTGTCTCTAGCTTCTGGACTCACCCCAACTTTCCAACACCTCAGCTGCCATCTGGAGTTCTGAGGTCTCAGTCTGTGCTTGTTTTCATTTGTTGTTCAGTGGGTTAGTTGCTGGGGGAGTAAATAGGAGCATCCACTCACTTTGTCATTTTGCTCTGCCCTTTCAGGCTCATGCTATTTTCTAACCCAGCAGGGTATCTGCTCTTAAAAAAAAGAAGAGAGAGAGACACACACTTTAATGGAGAATTTAAAAATTCTTCTTGTTTAATTTCCCTAAGTTATATTCCTTGTCTTAGATAGGATTCTTCCAAACTATACTTTTCATCTCAGCCTTATAAAGTGACAGTTGAGCAAATAAGTCTACTTGGAGTATTTAAAGCAATGATGCCAAATTAGGGTGTTTGGAATCCAGAAAACTTGAAAGCATTGAGATGGCTGAGAAAGGCTTAAGTACCAGCCTTTGGATCTCCAAGCTCATCTTTATTCCCTCAGAGGAGGAAGTGCTTTGTCAATTTCTTGTTTTTCATTAGGAGCTTATCTCCATGTAGGATTGATACAGATTTTCTACATTCTGACACTTTAAGCTCATTTTTTCCTTGCTTTGACTCTATGAAGCTGAAGTTCGAGTTGAATTGTTAAGTGGAGTCTGTCAATCCTTGTAGGATGAGTTAATATATGAATTTTGGTCACATACGTTGCCTTTTTTTTTTTTTTTAATTGGATTCAGCTATTACAGATAAGTATTTTTGTTATCCATTTGCCCTCTGTAGTATTTTCCTCAGGCTGTCAACTTACAATTGTTGTTGTCATTGTTATTATCATCATCATCACTGTAGGAGGGAACAGATTTTGTAGGAAGGTTTTGGGGAATAAAACTGGCACCAGTAGGTGGAAACTATAGGAAGTGGGCTTTTACCTCAGTATAAGAAAGGGCTTCCTAACAACTGTACAATGGTGGAATTAGCTGTTTTCAATAAATTTACTTAATCTCTTTGATCTCCACTTTTATCTTCTGTAAAATGAACATAATACTACCACTCACTCCACAGAGTTGTTGTGAGGCATAAAAGAGTTAACCCAGTAAAGCACTTAGCCCAGACCTGGCACATACTTATACTTAATAAATATTTGTTGAATGAATAAGTGGAGGTATATTCGATCCCTTGCACAGCCACAAGGAACTGTGTATTCATCCCTGAATGCCCTTTCCCTCTCTCTTTACCCCTTTTTCTCCGGACCAGCTCGTCTGTTAAGACTCAGGTCCTCTCCAGGAAGCCTTCCCTGATCCCTCCTGGAAGTTAGGCCACCCTCCCCACCTACCCCACCCCAACCTGTGTTCCCCTAGTGCCTGTAAATACCACTTATCACCCTGGAAATTATCTGGTTGTGTTTCTATCTTCCCCACGAGATTGTGAACTTCTGCATGGCAGGAACTTTGTCTTAATCATCTTAGTGCCATTAGCACCTCCCACAGTGACTGACACATAATAGATGTCCAATAAATGTATGTGTTGATAAGGATGGGGATGAAATACAAAGCTGAAGGCTGTGTGAAAATGCTGGTTTATCTTTCTGCAGTGGCAAGTCTACTTTTGAAAGCAAGTATTTTTCTACAGTATGCTAGGTGTGAAAAATCCAATGTAAAAAGGATTAAGTTATTTAAAAATTCTAAATTCTCCTGCTTTTCTGAAGAAAACACATTCCCAAAGTACAGGAGCAGCCCTGGTTATTGTATACATTTAGGTGGCTACCAGCTAAAAAACGTCTCTGGTTGGTGAATAAGAAAATGTCCAGGGAACCATGTGAAAAGTATGTTCAGGCTTCTCTCCTTAGGTCGCTTCATATAAATCCAAGTGTGGCTACCTTTCTGACTGGGAAGTCCAGTCTGTAATTGTTGAATTAGTGATTTGTCGCTTTGGAGTCCTGAGTGCACTTTTGATTCTTTACCAATTTAGCTGCATGGCTTTGGGCAAATTGCCAACTTATATAAATTGGAAGTAATAATGAATGCTTAACAGTGTTATTTCAAGGAATGAATAGATTATCATGGAAGTAAATACCAGGAGGGCAGGGATTTTGTCTACCTCGTTCACTGATGAATCCCCTGTGCCCAAATGGTGCCTGGCACACAGTAGGCACCTTGTAAACATTTGTTGAATAAACGAGGGCTTAAAAAATAATAATTATTAATAGTTCCATTTTAGCGAATAATTTTTTTTTAATCCACAGTGGTAAGAAATTACCTTACCAACGGTCATTTTCAGTTATTTAAACATAAGTACAAAAAGGAATCGCTGAGGAACTGGTTAGTTTAACATAATTTCTCAGGTGAATTAATTGTTGCCAGCAATTATGTGAGACTCACTGTTGGGAATTTTACCCAGGCATCTAAATTTTCTCATGAAAGCAAGTGGATTTTTTTTTTTTTTTTTGTAGATTTCCCAATGACTGGGGTAGCTTTCACATGTCTAGGACCAAGAAATTCAAGTCCATGTGCATCTTAGGTTTCTCAGCAACTCCAAACACTGTTGCTAAGCCACTAGGCTGGTTCAGATGACCTTTTAAATCAAATGCAGTTTGCTTATTATGTGGCTGTTGGGATTGCTTTTTTGTTGGAAATAATGGAGAGTTTCCTATCTGGTTTGGGCCTGTCAAATTGGAATAATGATAAGAGCTATTTGTTCCCTTAAGAGAAGGTAACCCCCTGTATAGTTTACTTTAAAAATTTACTTGCAGTTGAAAACTGAGGCTCCTGTTTTGTATGGGAGTTTTCCCTTTTGTTCTTAACAAAACCAAAAAAATAGCTTTTTGGAGTGAAATTTTTTTTTCAAGGATGATGTTATTAAGTTGCAATCAAATTGATTTTTTTTTTTTTTTTAATGGAAGAGCAGTGATAATGAAACAAGGAGTTTAAAATTGTATTTTAAACACACATATACTTTATGTGCCTAAGGTTTTCTCATATAATTTGTACATTTGCCTAGACAAACTTGAATGCATGTGTTTTCTGACTAAATTTTTATGAGAAATGCTTTCACATCTATTTTTATGACTCATTTACCTCTGTAACACTTTTCATACTTATTGAATATGATAATTATAGTATTTCACAGTTGTGTAGTATTTTGTAATTATGATTCATTCACCTCTGTAACACATTTCATGCTTGTAGAATATGATAATAATTATAATATTTTACATTTGTGTAGTATTTTGTAGTTTACATCATATTTCCACCTACATTAGTTAATGTGGGCCTCACAATATCACTGTGAAGGAAGGGCATTATATATATTTTTTTAAAATGTTTTTTGTAGTACATGTTGGAATTGAGGTTGTCAGAGGTTGAGTGACTTACCAAAGGTCATGCAGCCAGTAGGCATGTAAAACTTAGATCTACTGACTTAGTTTATTACTCTTTCTACTATTCCACGTACCTAGAGGTTTGTGTATATTTGTATAAATCGTTTATATCGAGTCTGTATTTCCATGTTAAAAGGACTGAAGTGAGTTATACCATGTCCATGGACTTGCATTCGTCATGTTTCTTCTTGTTTGTCAACATTCTTGTTAATTTTTCTTCTAGTTTCATTTCCATTTACGTATATCCCTGCCCCCACCACCCCTTCACCTTCTCATCTCTTCTTTAAAATAGCTGTTGACCCATTGATCTTATATTAAAATTTTTTTTTTTTTTTTAACTCAATATGCAATCTTTACTCTTTGGGCTAAACTGTTACTTAGTTTAAAGGTGACTTCAGGTTTCTTTGTTTTTGTTTTTAAGAGCTAAGAGATAATTAGCACTTTCAGATGTCGGTTTTTTTTTGTTGTTGTTCTTAAATCACTTTGGTGGTTGGGTCCTAGGAAAGAAGGGAATCAGCATTAATTGAGGGACTCTTGTGTAGCTGGCACTTGTGCTTATTAAAATACTTCCAGATGCACCAACTGGTTTAATCCTTACAATAGCCTTATGAAATAGCCCTTATTATCTCTGTTTTACAGATGAGGAGACTGAGTTAGGTAATTTGCCTAAAGTCACATAGCTATTGAGTGATAAAGCTGGGATTGGAATTCAGGCTTCTAAATTCCAAGTCCCAATACAATGTAGGTTGATTCATGGAGCACCACCTTCAGTCTTCTCTAATTCTGTTTCTTGCACCTGGATGTAGAAATATTGTCAAACTCTAGCGTGAAGCACCTTTCTATACCACAGATTAGATCCTCAAATCAAGTCCCTCAGGTTATAAACTTACGCTTGTAGGTGTTGTACATATAATAGGTTTCTTCTATCTTATCTGACTGTAGATATGAAAAACTAACAACCTTTTCCCCCATCTCTTGCAGCAATGGTGAACTAGACCCATGGTCAGGAGGTGGAGTAACCAAGAACATCACAGACACTTTGGTTGCAATCAACATCCCAGATGGTGCCCATCATTTAGATCTCCGAGCCAGCAATCCCTTAGATCCCAAAACTGTACTGTTAGCCCGCTCTTTGGAAGTTAGATATATGAAGCAGTGGATCAGAGATTTCTATGCCCGTCAAGGAAAAGCAGTGCTGAACAGTTTTTGATCATTTTCAGTTTCTTCTTTTATGTTTACTCCACCCACATTCCTGTTCCCTTTGGTTTTGTATGTGTAATTTTCCCCTCTTTTATCATTAGATTTGATGGAGGGAAGATTGAGATAGAAGAGAGGGTGGTGGTGGTGAGAGCAGCCTTCCCATTAGTCTGATTTCCCAGGCCCTCGTCATCTTTGTACAACCTCCAGGAAGAATCTCTTTGTGACAGCTCACATACATAAGGAACCTTAATAACTGGAGCAGAATTCTGACTGCCTTTGACAAGAGGGAGAGTCAGTTCCTTTGTTTCTCTGTGAGCAGTAATTTCCTCTTGGTTTTGAGGTTGAAGTCTCTTTGGGCCCATTCGTCACTCCCCACCCCTACCCCCGAAAGAGGAAAAGCAGAAGATAGATAAAAATGATGTAATTGCAGCTGGTAGGATATCCGATGCCAATCCAGGAAATGGAAGCCACTTCTTTTGTACTTGATTTATTGACTTTGAACTGTGCTGTAAATAAAGAATAAGGCTGGACCTTATACCTGTATGTTGCTTTTAAAGCTCACTCCAGCTATTGGGAATGCTGTGTACACTGCTTGGCTGCTTTTGGAAAGTCCTTTAATTTCTTCTCTTCCACTTGGCAGCTTTTCTTGGTTCTGGGATATTTGCCACTGTGGTGCTGCCAGGGAGAGATCTGGCCTTTTTCTGCTCCATTCCTCTTTGTTTCTAGGATCAGTTTTGTGATAATTTGGTTAAAGTCTGCCAGTTTGGGAAAATGACTCAGTTTTGCCTTTCACTTTATGTCTGAGCAAGCATGCTGTGGTCACTGATGATACTTCAGTTAGAAGCCTTTAAAATTGTCAAATCAAGTATTTAGGAGGTAGAATGTAGTTGTGTTCAGCATTCTTCTTAATTTAATTTTTTTTTAGAGGTTGTTGCTGCTGCCGTTAAAGGCAGAAATGTCAGGACACGAAGAAGCAGGTGCACAAGCACTTTTCTCTATGGCTTCTAAAGAGACACGCTGACTAATTCATGCAGGCAGCATATCTGACATTAATAAATGGCTGAACCCTTCCTATTTCCAAGGGTTTGGCTTCTTTCTGGCAGTTCTTACACTGAAACCTTTCTTCAGAAGAGCCTTTCTAGGATAACAAATAGGGTTGGAATGAAAACCTTTCAAGGATACAGA